CCAAATCTCCAGTTCTAATGACTTTGGACCTCCGTTGTTTCCTTACTATGTTTTTATGTCCCACAAAAGAGATAACTTTTCTAATTTGTTGTGGAGGCAGCAAAACCTATATACATACAGGTTATTAAAGCTAAACTCCTAAATTCCACAAAATTATAAATCCATGTGAATTTTTTCCCCAAAACACTGTATCTTTCTCATTTTGTAGGTATATAAATTTAAAAGTTAATAGTGTGAATAACTCTATGCTAAATGCATTTATTTTTTACATTTTAAAGAAAAATAAAAATGATAAGTACTACAAATATACATTTTAGTAAGAGTGAGTAGAGGAGAATAAGGAAGAATAAGGAAAAATTCTACTAGTCCAATGAAAGGAGATTTGCTCGAGCAGGCCCAGTAACGTCTCCATCATGAGACTTGTTGTTACTGTGTTTGGCATATCGAATACGTCACGGGTAGCTTGCCAGGCTCTGCCGTGCAGGCGAGATACTCTCAGTAGCTTGCCGGGCTCTCTGAGAGGGGCAGAGGAATCGAACTCAGGTTGGTCATGTTGGCCGCGTGTAAGGCAAACGCCCTACCGCTGTGCTATTGCTCCAGCCCTATGAAAGGAGAAAAGTGGGTTATTATCCTAATAAGGGGAAATAGGCTTTATGTTGTAAAATATACCATGGGTTATGTTCAACTTTTACTTATTAATGTAAAGGATTTTAACAAAATCTCTATAGAAGAAACAAAATCACCGGAATAGAATAGAACATTCAATATAAATGAAACATTAATTCATTGTTGAAAAATGTAAAATCACTTAGCAAGCTAGGAATAAATGAGCTTTCTTTTTTTTTTCAGATGTCTAACTTTCATGATTACGTTTCAGTCATACAAGGATTGAGTGAGTACCCATCCCTCCACCAGTGCCCTAAATGAGCTTTCTTAATCTTGCAGGAGGCAATCATAGGTATCATTGGCAATGTGCTGAGAAATTTGTCTTTTTGTTTTGTTTTGTTTTTTCGTTTTTTCTTTCTGGGTCACACCCGGCGTTGCACAGGGGTAACTCCTGGCTCATGCATTTAGGAATTACTCATGTCGGTGCTCAGGGAACAATATGGGATGCTGGAAATTGAACCCCTCTTGGCTGCATGCAAGGCAAACGTCCTACCTGCTGGGCTATCGCTCCAGCCCCTGTCTTCTCTTGTCTTTAAAGAAACTCCTCTAATGTTTCTTGTAAGGAAAAGCGGTTTAAAGGCAATAAATTCCTTAAGCTGTTTCCTGTTCCGAACATTCATTGTTCCTTCTGTGCTTGAAGTAAATGATGTTTTAACTAATAGAGATGTTTAAGGAAGAGCAAGGGCTTAACCATGGAGAGCTCCTGTGCTGGGCAGACCCACGTAGTTATTGGTTGGATTCAGTCTTGGGTAAGACAGGAGTCCTGAGGTCATGAATGGGGTGGGGGAGGGGAGGGATGGTCTTCTTCAGAATTTCCCACAGTAAAGTAAAGTAAAGTAAAGGCCCTCCCGTTGATCATCGATTTGCTCGAGCGGGCCCAGTAACGTCTCCATTGGAGACTTTGTTGTTACTGTGTCTGGCATATCGAATATTCTCGGTAGCTTGCCGGGCTCTCCGAGAGGGGCGGAGGAATCGAACTCGGGTTGGCCATGTTGGCTGCGTGCAAGGCAGACGCCCTACCCGCTGTGCTATGGGGAGTATATGTAAAATATAATTTAAAAGGATTAACTAGGTCTTCTATCCCACCCAACTTTTGCACTCTTGGGCCCAAAACTACAACAGAGCTTCAGATGTTTCTAGAAAAGCTGTTTCCTCCAGCACATCAACATCTTCAGCTGATTTATGTTTAATGTGGAAAAATATTGGTTCAAAAATGTTTCAACTGAGATACAGAAAAAGTTTCCTTGTAAAAATATTAAAAAGTATATAAATAAATAATATGCTTTACACTCCAGCCACATAAAACCACTATTTTTTTTCTATGCCATACTTTGCTTTTTAATTTATGGTTATTATTATGTTTTGTTGAGTGGTCATACCGGGCAGTGATAAATGCTTACACCTGGTTCTGTGGTCAGATATCACTCCTGGCAATACTTGGAGGATCATATGCAGTGCCAGGAACTAAACTCTGGTAGGCAGCATGGAAGGCAAAAACCTTACTCCCTGTACTATCTTTCTGTCCCATATACATATATTTTAACACATATTCAGCTATGTATTACATACCATAATACTACATAAACTTGGTATTGTCTTAATATTTTCTCCTCTGAATAAATATTGTTTTATCATCACAGTCACTTGACAGATATGCACAAACTTTTTTCAATTGTTTCTTTGGGGAATGCATGCTGTTTCTCTTCCATATTATTAATGCTTTCTTTTCTATTTTATATAATGTTAAAACAATCAACTTCATAAAAGAGCGTTGCTGTGGGGCTTGAGAGATTGTACTGCGGGTAGGGCGCTTGCCTCGCATATGATGGACTCATTTCCAATCCCTTCCACCCCACAGGGTTCCTGAGCCCCACCAGAAGGGATCCCTCAGCACAAAGCCAGAAATAAGCCCTGAGCACCACCAGGCATGGCCCAAAAATTACAAAATGAAACAAAACAATCACTGTGTACAATAAATGCATATTTCATAGTAGAATGTAGGTGTCTAGGAATTTTGATTTTTTTTACTGTTAACTTCTTTTTTTTTTGGTTTTTGGGTCACACCCTGCGATGCTCAGGGGTTACTCCTGGCTCATGCACTCAGGAATTGCTCCTGGCGGTGCTCAGGGGACCATATGGGGTGCTGGGAATCGAACCTGTGTCGCCCATGTTGGCTGCGTGCAAGGCAAACGCCCTACCCGCTGTGCTATCGTTCCAGCCCATTTACTGTTAACTTCTAAGATGGTTCCTTGACTTCACACACTGATTGTTCTTTGGCACCAACTGGTTTCCGCTTTAATGGTAAAGACTCCTAAAAACATTGCTCACTTCCATCATGCTAGTAAACAGAGATTTGAAATCAGTTCTTCAGACTCAAGTGACATCATTCCTTCCTGACAGGCTGAGAATTACTTGCCAACTTGCAGAGTTTTCCTGAACAAGTGTTGTTCTCACTCCACAAACTTTTCTGGGATTCTTTCCAAACATCTCTGGAAAGCTTGTGTAGCCCACATCTGCCTGCCTCGGCACACCTGCCTGGAGTCGGAATGATTCACTTTATCAATAAAAATGAAACTCTCAAAGTTTGCTGCAGTCCTTCTGAAATATTGGTTTCTCGAGGCCTTTAACAACCTTACTAGTCACCAGCATAGTCAAGATGATGAGATCCAGAGGCGAGCAGAGGGTGGGAATGACTCCGGGTGTGATACAAAAACATGATTTCCGAGTGACTTTCAAGTTTTGTCACTTTCTGTATATGGTTTATTCCTGAAAAATTAATGGTGCTCTTTTATGAACATTTATGACCATTTATCACCATTTATGAACACTCTCCCTCAACTTTGTTTTGTGTTTTCTGTATTGATCTTACTGAAACTTACTATAACTTTTCTTCCTCCTTTTGTACTTGATACATTTGCTTATATTTTCTACTTGAAGAGACATGCTGTGTGTGTGCACATTGGTGTGTATTTGTGCATGTTTATAGTGTCTCCCCCTGCCACTCCCCCCCTTCCACACAGATGCACACACACAGTTACGTAGGCCCTCACTTTTAAGGGTTTTGATAACATTAGAACAACTCAGTGCCTTAGAAATTTAAGTGCAATAAGATATTTTAAGAAGGGAAATGGGGAAAAAAGAAATAGGAAAGGGGACAGTTGTTAATAATAATAAAAATATTTTATCATTAGTTATTGTTATTCTCTTATTGTGCCTGACCAATGTCAAACTTTATTATAAGTGTATGTACAGGGGCAAAATCATACACGTAAGATTCAGTACATCTGAGGTTTCAGGCATCCAATGAGGATCTTGGAACATGTACCTGGAATAATTGGGTGACCCCTGTTTATAAGAAAGAGGGTAAAGATCACCCCATAGATTTTTCCTCTAAAAGGTAATCTTTCTGTTACAGCATCAACGTCTCCATGGCACTGCATGAAAGAGAATTATTAGTGAGGTTAAATAGGCATGTATGTGTGAATTGTATGTGTAGTATGTGTTGTGGATGTAGATGTATGTGTGTGTGTGTGTGTGTGTGTGTGTGTGTGTGTGTACACGTGTGAGTATGCTTGCTTGCATGAGCTTGACTCCATGTTCCAGTGGTGTCATCAGGAAGGGAAGACTAGTGAAGAACAGATAATCATACTGCAATACTGACAAGCACCATTTCTTTGGAATAATAATGACAAAAGAATTGACTGAACAGAGTAAGAATAGTTTGGGGGCAGATAATCATAAATTAAGGTGACCTAAAACAGGCACCTTCTTTTCTCACTTAAGGGTAAGGAAAAAAAGCTCTTCTCAAGCTGTGACTTGAGAGGTTCAAGTCTGGGATCCTAGACCACACTCCTCTTACTGCCGTCCCAGAAATGTGTGCACTTGGACACACACATGCGCGTGCACACACACACACGCTCACACACATACACACACATGCACACACACTCTGAAGCCAGTACCAGACACTCTTTAGCCCAAGACTCGCTTACTAGCCCTTGCTATGTGCAGTTCACATTCAGAGAATAGTAAAGAAAGTTGAACCAGTCAATGAAGTTAAAAGTGATTTATTGGGGAAGCAACAGGAAGGACTCAGTCCTCCTCAAAATCCTCTTCAGATGAGACTTAAGCAGCTAGAGGACCAGCTCAGCCAGCGAGAACTTCAGCCTTCTTCAGAGACTCAGGGGCCCTCCAGAGCATTAGGGGGCATCCCATTAGACATTACAAAGAGGAAAGGATTCGAATTCTGGATGACACAAATTAATTGAAGTGGGACTCAGAAGCAGAACCGAGAGGGGTTCAGCAGTTGGTGGTGGTTATGGGTATGAACCACATTACTTCTGCTTGGTCTTCTGCTGAGATGGCTCAGGCATCTTGGGGTGGCAGGGCTCAGGCACCTTGGGGTGGCAGGGCTCAGGCATCTTGGGGTGGCAGGGCTCAGGCACCTTGGGGTGGCAGGGCTCAGGCATCTTGGGGTGGCAGGGCTCAGGCACCTTGGGGTGGCAGGGCTCGGGCACCTTGGGGTGGCAGGGCTCGGGCACCTTGGGGTGGCATGGCTCAGGCACCTTAGGGTGGCATGGCTCGGGCACCTTGGGGTGGCAAGGCTCAGGCACCTTGGGGTGGCAGGGCTCGGGCACCTTGGTGTGGCATGGCTCCTTGGTTTTAGGGGCACATGGTTCCTGGGGTGGAGGCTGGCAGGGCTGCTTGACCTGCTGCTGCTGGGGCTGCGGGGGTGGGGTGCAGGGCTGCTTCTGCTGCTGGGAGCTCATGCTTCAAAAGAGGCTGGACCTAGAGACAGAAAAACTGTCAGAGTGATACAGACACACTCGGGAAAGTTTTTTGTTCAACGCCAAATAAAGATTACGTGATAGCCCTTTAGAAAATAACCTTTTCTCTGATTGCTCCTTGAGAGTCACTAAGTGTGGTTTGATCATTTCTGGGCTCTTTCCAGATGAGGCACTTCAAGGCAATAAGTTGGTCTCACTAAGACAGGGCTAGCTCCACAGCCCTTCTCTTGCCCAGAGATGTCATGTTTCTCACTGATAAGCATCCAAGACCACATAGTAGGTCTTTTAGAAAGAAACAACTTCCATTCCCTAAACGTTATTACCACATACCGTAACTTAATTCTGTGAGTTTACACAGACCCTTCTGAAATGCTTCCTTTCCCAACTTAGTTTATCCAAATACCTCTTCATCATAGTTCAATCACGTCCCATCACCTACAGCTCTTCTTGAGCAAGTGCCCACCAAACTTACAGTTTTCCCACCCCTCTCTCCTCATTCCAGTCCCTATCCACTTTGCTTTACACACATGCATACATACGTAACATCTTTCCCTGCTAAGAATGTTGAGTGAATTCCACATCAGTATGACTTATTCAAAGCGTCTTCAATGTCATGGTCCATCTTCTGAACCAAACTTTTTAAAATAAGTCCCATACATGGAGAGAAGAGCAGGTTTGTGAATGCCTTGGCCCTGAGTTCCTACTGTTGTGCCATGGAAACTTCCAGAGATCTGTTCCCTGCCATCACCCCGATTCCCCTAATTCTCCGCTGTGGAGCCTGACTACCTCCCTTTAAGCAGTCTTTAAATCTAAACCTAACTTTAATTTAAAATAAAGATAGCCCAATAATCTCTCAAAAATCAAAACCCATTATCAAAATCAAAAATCAATAATCTGTGTGCCACAGATCTTACATGCATTTACCTTCAGAGTCTAACAGTGGAATTCGAAATCAAGGTTCCCATAGGTTCCCATCAGAGACTCACCTGGTTCACAGAGAAGAACAGGTTGTCTGGTGCTGCAGGTGTGATGTGAAGTGAATGACCAGCTGGCCTTTTATACAATGAAGGAGCCCTGCCTCAAGGAAATAGAATCACCCCGGGGCCCCTCTGTTTTCATTCCTTACTTGTCAAACATGATTCATCCCACTCCCCTCAATTACCAGTTGGCTCAGCTTTTGTGATGAAAACCACCCACTTGATATTTTCTGGTACTAGCTGTCTGACAATGATGTCACCAGGGCCTCGTGCCTATAGTCACCCTTTTTCTTAGACCCACTACAGGGCTTGAAGGAGGGTGAGCCATAGGCTTCCTGAAGGGATTAATGAGTTAGTCCTGGAGGACTATGTAAATCACTTGTCACTTTATTACCTTTCCTGCTTCTCTCCCTTTCCTTGAAATGGTGATTCCTCCTGTTCTGTGGGACATGACATAGTTAGGAACGCGAAGAAGTGTGATAAGAGGGGACAGAGGATCTTGGGTGGGCACAAGTTGCTGGCCTTGAGAAAGTGAATGGTAGAGATTGGGGGATTGGCTAGTAGTAAAGGGACTCTTCTCTGGGGAACCCAACATCTTTATGTTTATTTTCCACATTTTTTCTTGACTCCATTAAATGGCATACATTCGGGTTTATAACCCCCACCCCTCCCTGACGAATTGCTAATCTGGGTGAACCTGTTTGCTTTCACCAACCACACCTCACCCTTCTCCTATTTCTGAGATATTCAATAGCTAATTCCTCTTATGGAATGATCTTTTTCCTCCCCTTCGCCCAGCTGTGTATCTGTCACCTTCTTCCTTCACAAGGCAACTATTCTCTACCCCCACATGAAAACAGACAGATTTTCTAACCATCTTCCCCCGAAGCTCTGTGATGACCCCTTCCTCATCTCTCGCCCATGATTATCTCTAAGCCCACATATAGGGATCTTGCTACGTATGCGGTTTTGCTCTTCTCTTGCATCTGTATCTTTGGAAACTGAGGGTCAGAGCTGCGCCTATTCAGTCAAGAGTGTCCTCAAAGCTCCTGACTTTAAGAAATTCCACTCCACAAGCTCTAGGTGAGAGACAATCCTCTTCAGTCACTAGATTAACGAAGCTTAAAGTGTCTTTAGCTCACACTCCTCAAATGATTATTGAGATCTTAAGGTGGGAAATATCTTAACAGGGTTTGTGTTAAGATACTAACACAAGAAGAAAAGGGATTCTGTATAGAAGTCCCATGTTTCATGTTGTTTGGATCCTTCCCCGCTTCTAATGCCTCCAGGTGAAATTCAACAAAGGCAGGTAAATAATTAAATGTGGGAATGGGGAGCTCAGACTTCCTGACTTACAGCTGGGTGGACTCATTGTCCTGGAAAAGCTTTGCATAAAACACAGTATGAGAAGCCAGAGAGAGCCCTGCCTGTGAGGTAGGCCCTTAGACTTTGCAAAGATGGATAATGCTTAAGTATGAGTAAAGCTGTTTAATACTTGAAGTGACTAGGGATAAGCAGTAGGTATTTCTAGCTCTGTTAAAACTATGAGAGAGAGGCTGGAGCAATAGCCCAGCGGGTAGGGCGTTTGCCTTGCACGCAGCCGACCAGGGTTCGATTCCCAGCATCCCATATGGTTCACCGAGCATCGCCAGGAGTGATTTCTGAGTTCATGAGCCAGGAGTAACCCCTGTGCATTGGCGGGTGTGACCCAAAAAGAAAAAAAACTATGAGAGAGGCATGAGTGAGCATATGTGGAAATAGGACTTATTCAGTATGACTTCATTTAGTGGACTAGGGACTGACAGAGGAAGTGAAAGGTCAAAATATATTGAAAACATGCCCTGTCCACTGTAGAGGGAAACCCCAGGTTGACATAGTAACAGGGTACTCTGGCCAGTGGCAAGATTGAGGAAGTCAAGTTAGCAACGTCTGAACATTCACCCAATTATCCCCAACCTCCATCGTGGTCATCGTGGTCAGAAAACTTCTCTTGGCTGTTTTTGTTGTTGTTGTTGTTGGTATTTTGGTATGTGTGTGTGAAACAATGAAGTTTTTATTGAAACTTATTTAAAAAAAAATGTGAGGGGAGGAGGGAAAGGGAGAAATATATGTGAGTGACCGTTGTGAATGCAGGTTTCTCCAGAGTGGAGGCAAGACAGAAACCAGAGACAAGCAAGCGAGATACTTGTGCAAGGGAGAACACAGCCTTGAAGAACGAGCCCCACTTAAGAACAGAGGGATCCCCCGAGTCTTTACACCAATCGCCCCCTACCTGCTGCCCCAAATCAACAAGACTGTAATGTGAAAGTGTAATTATTGATTTAGAGTTGCCCTCAAAACAATCTTCATTAAGTGTGACATTCGGAAAAACCACATCACTCTTCCAATGCAGGTTGTTACAAATCTATGGGCTATGAAATGCGCGGGCTCTGCTGTAACGGCCGAGGAAGGCCTGTGTAAGTTCTCCTTTGAAGAAGCTCGGGGTCTTGTCCATCCTGCCGGACCCACGTTTCTGCATAGGTGACTCGACCCTGGCTAGACAGTCTTACAATAAACCCTGCTTGCTGTTTGCAGTCTCTGGAGTCACTTTGCCGTTAAAAGGAGATTTCAATCCACGTCCTAACACCTAGGACTTGGAGGAGGGAAATATTGGGTATCTTTACATACTCTTATATTGGATCTTGCTTTTTTTTTTCTTTTTGGGTCACACCCGGCTATGCTCAGGGGTTACTCCTGGCTCATGCACTCCTAATTGCTAATTGCTCCTGGCGGTGCTCAGAGGACCATATGAGGTGCTGGGAATCGAACCTGTGTTGGTCATGTTGGCTGCGTGCAAGGCAAACGCCCTACCCGCTGTGCTATCACTCCAGCCCTGGATCTTGCTTTTTTTTTTTAACAGTTATGTCTATATGGGCCATTATCACACACATTCCCTCAACTCTGTCATTCCTTTTCTTATCCTAGGTTCTGGGATGTCACAGCAAAGATGTCTGCGGGATTTTTTTTTTTACTTTTAACTTTTTAAGATATATTTTATTGGAATAGCACTGGTTTACAAAACCATAAAATTCATGAATATAGTTTCATATCTGTGTAAATCATAAGCCTCACTACATCAACTAATGTTCCCACTGGAACATTAGCACCTAAAAATAAACCTGTAAACCCTTTCCCTAGTTTCCTGCCCTTACATGATGTTGGAATACAAGGAGCTTAGGTTTATCAGGTTGCACCCATCACAGTGCTCCTGAGTCACTCCCATTCCTTTGTCTGTAACCACTTCTCTATATTCTCTTCCCCAAAGTTAATCAGCTTTTCCCCTAAGCAGAATCTGTTAATTTGTGAGGTCAGATCCTTCTAGGACACTGAATTTGTATTGTAAGTTAATATTGCCTTTCTCCTCTCCTTATGTCTTTTGAATAGTTTAATGAAATGTCCTTTTTGTATAGATACAGGAAGACAGTTAATATTATGCTTTGTACCTTAGGATTTAATTGGCTTTGAATATTATTCACTCCCGGGCATCTGCTTTCTCAACTTAAGCCTCAGTTTCCCTCACTTCCTAGTGCCCCCAAAAGCAGGGTCCCGAGGAGGGACTGGATGGAACCAGGGCAAGCAGGTAAGCTATGTGCTACCCTGGCATCGAGATGGGCCAGGCCAAAGCGCCACGATTCTTAACTATAAGTTAGGAGTTTGATCATAGACAAATGCTGTCATGATCCAAAGGTAACGACGAGACTAGGATCCTGCTAGGGGTGGGAAAGACTATCTGGCCTGAGCACTGTAGTCTGAGATCGAGATGGCCCTAGGAGAGCAATTCTATAAGTTTAAGATATTTCTTACTGTATCCATACAAAATGATTTATATTATGTATGCTTATATGTTTGTTGGACAAGGAGAGAAGAAACACACCCAGGGGATTCTGTTTTAGTGTGGGTTGACCTGCTAAATGAGAATCTGTCTAGAAGCGGCTTTCCCATGTGTCCTGACTAGTCTGGACTAGGCTGAACATTTCTCCCCTTCAAACTGCCTTCAGTAAATAATTTCAGTATATTGTAAAAGGTAAAGGTAAAGGCCCTCCCGTTGATCGTCGATTTGCTCGAGCAGGCCCAGTAACGTCTCCATTGGAGACTTTGTTGTTACTGTGTCTGGCATATCGAATACTCTTGGTAGCTTGCTGGGCTCTCTGAGAGGGGCGGAGGAATGTAAGGGGAATGCCCTACCTGCTGTGCTATTGTAAGAGGCAGTTTTCTTTTTCTCACAGATCTCAGGTGCTAGCCAGGCCTGATCTTTGGGATGCAGATTCCAGGCTCTAGCCAGGCTAGTCTTTGGAGTGCAAAGCTCAGATTCTTGTCTTTGGGATGTAGATTCCAAGCTCTAGCAGACTGGTCTTTGGAATGCAAATCCAAGTGCTTATAGCTTGTGAAAGTGCTTATGAAACGTTTCAGTCTTGGCTTTGTATCTTCTTTCTGAAGGCCAAAATTACTGGCCTGCAGATGTAAAGAAACAATGTATGTCTTGCCGCCTCAATGTTCTTTCTGTAACTCCTTTTGATGACATCACTGTATTGCGCCCTTTAGAGGTACCATGATTTATATAAGAAGATTTTAAGGGCTCTCTGGAAAAAAAAACACGGGTTTGAGAGAACTGAGAGAATGGGGAACACAGGCCTGCGAGTACCTGGAGAACACGTGCTTGAGAGAACCTAGAGGGGACGGGCTGAGAGAACCGAAGAGACAGGTCTGAGAGAATGGGGACACAGGCCGAGAGAATCTAGGGAACACGTGCCAGAGAGAACCTGAACCCTTCATGATATTAATTTCTTCCTTGTAATAAACTGCTACTAAGACCAACCAGCCTGGCCCTCGTTTCCTCCCTTTGCCGGCTCTTTTTGTGTTTACATACATATGATAGCTATTATATATTCCTTAAGTCTTGAGTTACTTTTGTTATATTTTCCCAGGTTTTTTTTTGCTTTATTTATTCCATAGATGAATAAAATCCTCTGGCATCTGTCTTTTGATTCCTGAATTATATCACAGC